ACCCAAACCAAACCCAAACCCAAACCCAAACCCAAACCCAAAGAATGGAATGGAATGATGTTCGTATGTTTCTTCATGGAAACACATGCAACATTCTTCTGAACAATGTTGGAGTGATGTCTCCGTTTTTCGAGAAGGGACAAACACAAATGTTGTGAGACGCATTGAAATGCTTGTTGAATAATATTGACGAGAATGCATCGGATCAAGTCATTTCGGAATCATTATCGTTGTTTTGGAATATTTATGTTGCTGCTGCTCAAGGATTCCAAGGTAAATGTTGGTACGCTCATATTTTAGCGAAACATTTTTTAGCTCTCAAGTGCAGAGTCAGAAATGTAAAGCAATTTGAAACTCAAGCATTCGAAAGCAATCATCTTGAAGAGAAGGAATCAATAGAAGGAGCATCAAGCAAAGGTGGTGGCACTCCCTATTCCTATTATGATTATATTTTGTCCAATACTAGAGACTATCTTGAACATTTTTCATCAAACGGAATCAAAGTTCGGTCAGCTCTCGGAGACAATGTTGATGATAACAAGGATTTATTGATGGAGACATTTTGTAAGAAACCAATACCTACTGGTGTTCGTTCTACCATTAAACTTGGCCAAAAAGGAAAACTATTGGCTCAGGTTTTGTTCCGAAAGTTGAGAATACTTTTTCTTTCCACTGTTCTTCCAAACACGTTCATGCTTTGCCAGCCAAAGAGATTCAAGGAAAAGAGAAAGCAGGAAATTGCTTCCGATTACACTGTGAAGGTGAACGATGATGAATCTATTCTTCAACAACTTTGTTATCGAGAGGAAGACACAACTGTATTTGAAAATCATAGCTGTTCGGACCAATGTTTGACCGTACCTAAAGACTACCAACACTACACCATTTCAACCTTGAATCGGGTTGTGCCTGAAGGAAGTAATTTGAATCAATATTTGGAAGATGAAACAGCGAGAACAGAAGGCATGTTGATACCTGTTGCAAAAGCCAAGAGAGTTGAACCTGCACATGCTCTGGCTCGACGAAGAAAGCAAAGAAATAAATGAAGAACGATGTGTGGGATCGAAAAATTGGTCGTGTGCTGTTGTTCACAGAAAAAATAAGCTCTCAAAATTTTTTCGATCCGGCAGTGTTTTCTGATTGGTTGGAGAGCGTAGCCATCATTTTCTTGGTGTAAGTTGTAGTGTACAGTTTTTAAAAAAATTCAGGGATGGGTTTATTCGATGATAAACGTTGTTCGATGGTTTTATGTACATTATTTACAAGCCGAACGTAAGATACGTAGTGACTTCCTAGCAGGCACCCCGGAAGTAAAGGTGTTTAAACTGCTCACGATAACAGCAGCAACCCCTGGGATTCGAACGCTGGACCAGTTGGCTGCCACAGTTCCAGAAAAACCACTCGGCCATATGCGGGCAGCTACAGTTTTTAAAAAAATGTCTTTATCTTCAGAGACCACCTCACCTGCTCCTTACATTACGGTTCGATACGTCAAGCCTTTACCTTCATCGCTTTGTTCGGGATCTTTCTCTCAACAAGACAACCAACAAGTGATTGAGGCCAAATTTCCTCTTATTGAAATCAAGCCTCATAGAATTCCTTCATCTTTTAAAAAGCTCCGAACGGAATCAGCTCACTCTCTGCAACCAAATCGAGCCAGAACCAACGAATGTATCAGATTCTATGGAAGGAAATAATGCAACCAATATTGGTTTGATGCTGTGAAAGGTGATAAGCTTGGAGGCCAATTGTGTTCCCCTCAAGTGTACGGCCATCTCACAGCATTGCTGATGGAGCTAGCAAAAGGGAAGGTTGTCTGTGCCTTGGAAGGTGGTTACAACATTGAAGAAACAGCGTCATGTGTAAAAGAATGTATTTCTGTGTTGCTGGGGAAGGAGCCAAGTGTTTTGTCCTATTTGTTAGAGCCACCATACTTGAAAGAAGAGCAAATCCAAAAGCATGCAGAGATGTTGCAGAGAGTGAAAACATTTTACTCAGAACTGTTCAACAAATCGGTAAAATAGGAACATTGTTGAGGGACAGAAACATATTGTCACAAAACTAATTCTCTTTGAAAGTAGGCTTAAAACTCCTCAATTCTCACTTCCTCGGATGTTGCTGGTAAACTGGCTGTTGATGTGACATTACGCTTAGCTTTTGGAGTTCTAGGAGAGTTTTGAAAACCAAATTCAAAAGCGCTCGAGGAAACGTTTGGACTACTCTCTATAGATGATTCTTCGTCGTGAGAATAAAGAGACCTATTGCTATATCGTGGGATAAGTTGACCTGAGAATCCAATCTTAGACGTCAAGCTTGAGAATAGGCCTCAATTTCTAAATTGTGTGACATTTCTATTTCAGCTTGTAATTTTTCGTTTTCTTGAAGCATCCATCATGAATTGCATGAGAAATAGTAGTGTGATGGGTCATAAATTCTCTGTATATGAAGCCCACATTCCTTTTTCTTTGCAATTCATGATGGATGCTTCATGAAAAGACATGGAATGACATTACCATTTTCATCCTTTTTGTATACTCTCATGAGATTTGTGATGGAGATATACTCCAACAGTCCAACAACAAGAAATTTCAATGGATTGAAATCGACCGAAATTTCTATGTTTTCACTTGATACCAAAAGTTAAAGCCAACACTTTCCATCACTAAACTATACAAACTCCTTGCAAATCAGTAATCAACGAAATTGGTTAGTCGTGCGATTTGATTCTATGAGACCACAGCGGTTTTAAAAAATACTGAACCTGTCAAATCCAATCCAATTCATTCAAAAAAAAAAACAATCAAGAGATAATCGAAAATGACCATCCGTCGTACATGTTCCAGGATCCAAAGGGCAATGATAATGACTATTCATGTGTTGTTGTTGTTGTTGTTGGTCATGCAACCAGCAAAAGACAATTCAATGGTTGAAGGAGCCACTTCTTCTCAACTCGATATCATCCGTCTCTCACTATTGAACAACGTCCAAGGTGTGCAACTGAGTGGTGTACCAGGTACCATCCTTTCACACGGTCCGTACAGTGTCCCTTTGATTGTCGGTTCAGATTCAGTTCCCATCGTAGTGGCTTCAACTTACTTGACTTCAGAAAATAATAGTGGTAGAATTTGCGCATTTTCTCATAACGGTTTCATAGTGGGAACGAAAGGAACAGATTTGGGTAATTTATTGTTGAACTGTGCTCAATGGGTGACTCATTATAAGAGTAGTAATGTCTTGTTTATGGTTCATGGTGTCAACTCAAATGATGCATCAAATTTGTACGGAACACTCCCTGGATTTTCCTTGTTCAAGAATACTACCAATGCATTCGACAGTAATATTCGTCCATTGGAGGTAGTTGATTTGTTAATTCTCAATTTGAATAATGTTGGACAAGTCTCAAGTGAAATGTTTCAAATGATGGACAATTATCTCAAAAGAGGTGGAGGCATCATTGTGGGTGTTACTTCATGGGCTCATTCTCTCTCTTCTCCTCTATATAACTTTCCAGGAAATGTCTTCTTTACCAAAACAGGAATTTCGTTTAGCAATAATTATGCATCTTCACCATATGTGAATGCTAACTCTGTGGTTCAATACAATCCGTATTTCAAATTGGATGCAATTTTGCAATCAAACACAATTCCATCCTCTTTCAGTGAAGTGAAACAAATAGCGACAACTTTAGACAGAATTAGATTTACATTGATACCACCGGTTGTAATGGCCGAGCAGAATGTTGAAATGTTTTCGAAAACTTTGGCTGTATATAATGCAAAATGTACCGGATTGTCACTCGTCACATATCCTATTTCCACCATAGACAAAAAGTTTTGTGTCTTTCTTGCCAAAGTTTTGAACTCTATCAATACTTTACCACTCTCAAACAATCCTGAAATACAAGCTGGAGAGATCTTTCCTGGTCTTCCTCAAGGCAATGTGAATTCTCGAAACACAAAATCCACAACTGTCACCATTCAAATTTCATCCACACGAAGACGTTGGCAATGTACAGGTTATTATGCTCTTCCAGGAGCCAATATAACAATCACTGTGAGTTCACCAAACTCTGTCGAATATATTCTCATTGGATCACATACAGACAATTTGGAAAATTTAGATGAATGGAATAGATGGCCTTCAATCTCCTCACAATACTACATCTCTTCAGGAAATTCCACATCATGGTTTATTGCATTTAATGGAGGTACTATATTCGTTTCTTTGAAAACAATTCCAGTAACCGATTTGAGTGTGACCATTAGTGGACAAATTGTGAAAACTCCGTTCTGGCGTTTTGACAAACATACTAATGCAGATTGGATTAATACCATTCGAAATGAACCAGGACCATGGATTGAGGTTGAAACTGAACATGTATCTATTAATGTTCAATCCACCCCTTTTTGCGAGAAATATAACAGATATTAAGGCAGTGTCAGATTACTGGGGAAAAGTACTACCAATGTATTATGAGCTATCACAGGAAGGTGTGAGGGATTATAAAGAGAGGTTTCAAACAGATATTCAAATTTCTGCTGGATATATGCACAGTGGTTATCCTATCATGACGTTTTTAGATCAAAAT